ATACGAAAGTTGCAAAACAATTTTGGAGCCAATATTTGATAAATACTTTTTGAAGGGGGACTCTCAATCTCAGAGAAACTGTAAATTATATGTATCTTTCAAATGAAATCATAAGAAGAACATTTCAATATAATAATTAAATAACTGTCACCCATGCAATACAAAACAGCAGAGCAACTGTTTTATACAAAACCTATGGAGATCTTTGGGTGATTGGCTAATTTCCAAATCCATAAAATGATATAAATAGATTGCCTTCCCTTCCATTTAATTCAAGTCGGGGTCATTTTGAATAACAACTTGAATTTCTACTAAATAATATAATTATTATAACCAAATATGACATACACATATTGCTCTGCTAAATTCCCTCCATTATGGCTGGCACTTAAAAAGGAGTTTTTCTTTTAAATAAATGTATAAGAAAGGTCAAAAACCCCAGCCAGAAAAAACTTGAAAAAAAACTGAATATGGTTTAATCTAGTCCCCTGTTCAGCTCATTTAGTTTATTTACAGTTATTGTATTGTTTTATTCTTTTTATGTTATAATATTGGTTAAATGTAATTAATCCATGTTGGGGAAAATATGTTTTACATGTACAAAAGTCAGTTTGTCATTGTACTTTTTCTTTATAAATAAAGTTGGGGGGAAAAACCCACATATGTACAGGGATAGGGTACTACTGCCATCGTGTGGCACTTGTACGTTACTACAAAATATAGTTTGACTGAGATATTAGCACATTTAAAATGAGTAATCCAAAAAATAGAAAAAGTCACTGCCCTGTGCATCACCCCTGTGCAGCAAGTGTTTCCTTGTTCTACAGGGGACTGGAGACTCTTTTTTCCTCCAATCTTTATTGACAATATAAAAAATAAATACATAGGGATACAAGGAAGTTATTAATATAGGCAAACAAATCTTTAAATGAAAACACAAATCTGTATTTCTTATTTTTGGAGTTAAAATTGTTTTAATGTAATGTTTTACTATTGATACAGTAGATACCAAACAGTACATTTTCCTAGTAAAACATTTCAGAGTCAATGTGCTAGTGTAATGGCATTGCCAGACCAGGTACAACATTGTTTCTGGATTCACTTCACACAATAAACACAAATATTTTATAAACTTAAGAAGATTACAACTGGGGGGATAATACCTATGTATGATTCTCTTCCTTTACTTTATTGGTAAGGAGATATGTAAGGTTGGTTGAGTGGTGAAGAAACCTTTAAACTCTTCAACAGTCCAAGTTTCTTTGTTTTCCTTTTTGTAACAGCCGGATTAATGCAGTGTATTTACTGTGCCGATCAGTTTTTCCCAAGCTGAAGAAAATGTATTAAATAAAACAAAATGTGTTCCACATGTGTTCAGAAAAATGCTGTGCCCTCATATCTTGACCAAATTTTAACATTTCAATGGATTTGTGCTTAGCTCAGCTTAGGACATTAATGGGTTAATTTTTAAATATTGTCTTGGTAAGAGTTTTGCCTTATTATAACATGTATGCTTAGTTTTAAAAGTAGATTTTAATAGTTAGAAGCTGTCTGGGGCTCACTGAGCAGCAACGTTAGGGGCCAAGGGGGCCTTCTGCCACCGCTATTGGTAGAAATGGTTCTGACCTGCTACACAATCATGGATGTATGGATGAATATGCAATTGTATAATGACAGACTAAGAGGAATGTGAGTTCAAATGTGAACATTCAAAACAACACTGAAAATAGATATAACAGATATAGTAATAATATATAGGTATAAAGGTAAAGCATAGTAATATGGTCAACTAAAGTGTTTTAAAGGTCCAGTGTG